ATATCGACTCAGGGAGTCGATACATTAAATATGGAAGAGTTTTCGGTCACAAAGAAGGTCCGTGACGACGGCGCATCAGTTCCGGGAACTGATGCATGAAATGAAATGTTTGGCGGTGACCCGGGTCACCGCAAAAAAAAAGTCGTTCATGGGAATTATTTATTTTTATGGTCTATCCAAAAGTCGTTTAGGTGGTTCCACTCGGTTAACTCATGAGCAACCAGGAATCTGCCCCAGCACCCTTAGCTGCTGATCACAGCACTCCTGTACCCAACCAGTCTGGAGTCGTAGATGGGATGATCAGCACCAGTCGTGTTGATGAAGACGGTAGAGCGCAGCGTCGAACCGGTGGTCCTGGGGGCTCAGCTCAGACGATACCAAGTCGCCGTCGAGCGGTTTCACGTAAGTCGTCACCTATAGATCGTGCTCGCGAGACACTTGGAGAAGAGACTGTCCCTCAACTACAACAAACTTTCCGATCGTTGGATTCTACATGGGGAGGGTCCGAGCACGACCAGGCTGAAGGTATGGTTCTTAGTTTAGTTCGGCAAGGTGTTGCAGACGCACAAATACGCGCCATTTTCGGAGTTGGAGGCTCAATGATACAGAGATTAAAAGGAGTGATTAAAAACGGCATTGATACGCTGCACACACGTCGCCGCGGTACTACTCCAAAACTTGCATTCAGTGAAGACGACGTATCCTTTTTTATTTCATCTTGTGCAGATTGGGAGCTTGAAGACGGGTTTCCGTGCTCACATCGGCGTCCTAGGCAATATTTTGTGGAGCCGAAGGTTACATGGAAGTTACTATGGGAAAGATATAAGAAGAAAGCAGAGGATGCCGAGCGAAGAGTAATCCAGTACTGCAGGTGGACTTAGTACGTGCATCTTCATTACCCTGGTGTGCGACTTTCCCGTACCAAAGAAGACTTTTGTGACGCGTGTGTTCGACTAGAGATAGCGCTTTCAGCTTGGGATCTTAGTGATGATGACCGTAAGGAGCTTGAAGCCGAAAAAATATGCATGCCAATGCTGCAATCAATCAACGACGGGCTATGTCTGCTTCTATTAAGCAATACGTCTCTGCACACGAACCGTCCCTGATATTACCTGAGAATATTATAGCTGATCATGCCGAGGTACCCATTCAGGAGGAGGAAATTATTCACGAACAGCTTCCGATGATGCAGATTCAAATCGAAGATTATGGAGGTAGTTTTGCTCTCCCTCATTACGGTTTCAAACGGCCTGCAGCAGAAGCCTCTTCACTATGATACATTCAACTTGACTGCCGCTGCGTCAGTGGCTAGGAAAGGGTGATAAAAGATGCTGCGGCTGCGAAGCAGGCGCAGGAGATGCGTCGTCAGGTATCCTCCGTAGGTTTGCTAAATTTCAGAGCTTCATCGGGCAAAGCACGACTTTGTTTAACTTTTATAATGCAAAATAATTTTAACAAAAACTGACTGACTTATCCTTACCGAAAAGGACCGGGTTTTGAGACAGGTCGGAAGTAAAGTATGTCAATATTGCTCGATCGTACACGATTTCAAGCATTAAGCATGCCTGGTGCATGACATTTAAAGTCGTGGTGGTCTTATTCTCTCATACACTCTGTAGGACAAGCTATTTGTCGCTCTAAAGTTGGTATTGACGTGTTCGCGAGTGCTGTTGGCTTCACCTTTTTCAGGAGTGTAGGTGCTTTGTCCATTCTTTCGAACACATCGTGCTAGCACAATAAACGCCAATCAGCAGCGGCTGACCAGTGCCGCTATAATAGCGGCTATTTCGCGGTACTCAGTATTACAATGCAACGGGTCAAGTTGCCCTATCGGCTTTCTCCTGCAAGTCGCTGTTTTCATTGTCCACCGTTCACAAAATTTAGGGGCATTTGGACGAAAAGCACAGTAGATTAGCTAATACTTATCCGATTTTCGCCCGGATTGATCCAACCAAAAGCTTGAAAGGTGGGTATTCTATACATACCCTTTTTTGTCGAATGACCATATATTCGCGTCAGAGTGATCCACAAGACCCTCCTGTCAGCTATCCGCAAGACCGGACTGGTGTATTACCTTCATCGACAGACTAACAAGATGATACATCATGCTTAGGTTATTGCTTCAATCACCGCAAAATTTGCTTCTTCCCGTTACCGTTAAACCTTATGCAAAGCCACGGTAGAAAGTAGCTCAGCCCTTTGGTTGTTGATGGTTTTGTTTGAAAGTGTGAATCAGTTAGTCGTTATGTTCGTGATTCGAACGCGGACGCTTTCGGGCGGCAGGAACCCAATGTGGCAGTAAGAACCACGACAAACTTACGTTGGGTGATCATGTTTTTATCTACGGTAGGAGTTTTAACCCATATTAGCGACGAATCAAGTCGCGAGCAATCTCGCGCTTTGGTACATAGAATTATTTAAAGTGACGAAACTATTGGTGGTGATAATACGCTGAAAATTGTTGTGGCTTTCCGGGTTTCCCGTTGGTGTGAGATACACCAATGGTTACATTTGACAGACCACTGGTCTGTGTGCATTTAGACTTCCTATTGGTTGAAAGGCAACCAATTA